CAAGCAACCCACACACTTGTATCTCATTAACAAAAAACTTACAAGATAAGCGGCACAAGCGATACTGGAGCGGCATCGGCAACAGGTTGCCTTGGATGGTTGCATCATCCATCTGAACTATAAACAGATCATGATCGACACACGGTCGATGCAATGGCCATGTCCCGCCTCCAGGTCCTATAGGACCCCCTGTAAACCCGCTCCCGAAGCCCCATGAGTGTCACAAGCCACGCGACAAATTTTCAAGTTTTTCAGCCTCCAGACGGGCCCAGAAAAAATATTATATGAGTATATCTGAAGCCCAAAAACAGCGCACAAAAAATATGCATAAAATACGGTGAGATCGGGGCAAGCGCCGGAGGAGGATGCCCAAGACGGCGAGGCTCCCAAGTGAAAGATGTTGCCTGTCCGCTGGACTTGGCCAAGTACATGACCCCAATTTCTGGCCGCTGCCTTAAGTTAAGAGGAAGGTCCACGCAAAAGGATGGATGATGTATGTTGCGCTTTCAATTTGGAGCAGCAGGACATCTGTTTTTCGGTGAGACTGAGCTATCGTCTCTCAGTTACCTGCGCCGGTCTGCCAACCGGTTTACAGGTGCTAACTTGGCTCTCGGGCGGAGCAGGGCATCAGGGGTGTTAGGGGGAGACCATGATCGCCAGATCGAGGTGCTGCCGTTTGGCTTTGCCCCACAGCCTCCAGGTTTTTCTTCTTCCCGATCCTCAGCTCCTTTTTTCTTTCTTTTTTAATATTGCGCCTCTGCCGTTGTTTGATCATAAATTTGTGTTTAATTTAAAAACTTTTCACTCTTCTGCGGGGCTCGAAAACTCCCGGTGCGAGTGTTTTACCTCCAAATTGATGGCGAGAAATATATTTTTGTTTAAATATTACAAATACAGTTAGGCATCTATACGTATGACTTGCTAAAGATATAACTTTAGTTATTCACTTTTTATTTCTATCCCAATACATTAGCATAAGTTATGGGATATTATTTAAATTATTTTTAGATATTAAGGTAATTAGGGGGTTAACCTAATAATATATTAAGTACTGATAGCCTTCAATCCAATTGCTTCCCCCGTATGTAACGAGTTGACGCCACATCCAAAGAGTACCTTAGAATTACTTCCATATTAAAGACAGAAAATATATTAGGATTAAGTGCTTATGTTAGCGGAACGTATATTCGTTATTGATATACATATTAAAAAATTAAAAATGGTACTGTGCCATTGAAACTGATAAGGAAATTGACTACAACCGAAACTATTCTTTCTTTATGTTGAGTATGAGTTTAAATTTCAAGTATTTTTATAAGAAAAATAATAGAATTTTATAAATATATATGTACATCAAGGAAGCTTCACTGTATTCTCCTTGAAATCGACGGCGGACTCTTGAAAGTCGGACCAAGAGAAATTTCGTGTCTTTGGAGCCAGAGACTCCTTGTAAAATTGGGTGTTGACGTGATTGGTTTCGTTTTCTGTGGCCTCCTCAGGGTCTCATGGATATGCAAATGTACCTGGGGTTCGATGCAAATTAATGAAGACCGATTTTTATTGTACAAATTTCAACAACTTTATTTCGCGCGAAGAGAGTTCTGCCCCAACATCGTTGGTCCATTTATCAGAAGTTTTCAATGAACCCCGATTACCAAGTGATTTACAATGTTTGGCCAAGAAAACGCTTCGCATTAATCCTGTTCTCATCTGGAACAGGATATGGATTGTCGACTTGATATACCTGGAGATAAGAGAACACAAAGATTAAATCGTGCACGATTTCATTACAAAAATCATCAAAAGATTCATTTTTATCTTTCGGAGTTTCTAAGTAGGTTCCCGTTTTTTTTTTGCATAAAGGCGATTTTTTTGTTAATATATCGCTGTTTTCTTATTTTAATCTTATAAAAAATTCATCATACATTATAAAAATTAAAATAAAAATCTTTAAAAGCGCAAACAAAGCGTTTGAAGAGATTTTAAATAGCAACTGACTTTTTTATTTTATTTAAAATTTTGTATGTATTTATAATTTTTCTTGCATATTTAAAATTTCAAAAGGCTAGTGTAATTTGGAACTAATTTAAATAAGCCAGCTAAAATAATAAAAATTAAATTAACATAGGGAAACAGTTAAATTAAAAGCCCTTTCGGTTTGTGGCTTGAGTTATGCTGTTACTGTAAATTTAATTTTCTAAAATGCGGTTTATCGTTTTTTCAAGATTCGTTCGCCTAAAATAAAAAGGAATGTCAAATGAATAATTTGTTGTATTTACTTATAATTTTTCCTTATATTCCTTCCTTCTTTCAACTTTTGCTAGTGGGAAAATAGCTAAATTAAGATTGAAACTGCCGCTGAAATTTACGAAGCGCTTCTCTCTCGGTGTCTGTTGTTTTGGTTCCTTGTCTCTCTTTCGCTCTCACTCACTTCCCTCTCGCTCTGGCTCGTTCGGCGGGTGGAAATGTTGCTGCAGCATTGTTGCTGGTGAATCTGGCTTGTACAACATTTAGGGATATTATTTTATTTTTCTTTAGTAAATAAAATACATTTTCATAAGAGTAACAAATGTTCTATGTTTATTCGAATGTTGCAATAAATGAAGTTATGGAAATCATAACTAAAAAATATGGAATTAAAAAAATCAATAGGTCAAGCCACTTAAATATGTATACAATATGGGGGGTATTATATTTAAGTTTCTACACTGATAAAAAATAAATCTTCTTTTAAGAATTTGTGCATTTCTAAAATAAAATCTTAATATAAGACCAAAAATTCTAGAAAGGAGAATTTTTTTTGTGCTCTGTCCTTGGAACTGTATGTACATATTCATGTCCCCGACATGAGTATTTGATTTGCCTCAGTGGCCCAGTTTGGTAAGCAGTCGGTCTGTGAATTTTAAGACATCGGTTCGGATCCCAGTCGGGGATCAAGAAATAATAGCTTTTAATATGACTTATATACTAATTTAATGAATAATAATCATTTATAGCTCTATAAAATTACAGATTAAAAAAAATTATTTCACAACAATCTTTTATTTAATAATGTTTGGTATTAAGAATGTTTAGTATTAAGTAAGGCCGGTATCGTTAGAATTCAAAAAACAATTTTTTTTTGTTGTAGGCAAACTCGAGATAAAATTAAGAATGATAGAGATTAAATTATGACTCTTTTAAAGCTTGAATTCTTCAATAAAGAACAAAAATTTTAAAAGAAGACCAAAAAATGCTTGCGCTACTTTCGGAACCGGAATGGTCACGATTCTATGACCAAAATTCTTGTTTTTTTTTATCAGTGTATCTATTCCCGCTTTTTTGGATAACCAAATAAAAAAAGGTGAAAATTTCTCTTGTTCGGAAATGGGGTTGATCGCCTCAAAAGAGCATAGATATGTAGGCCACAGGAACCTCGCTTAACGGGATTTTCGGGAGCGCGTTTTGATTTCTACTTTGCATATGAAAGGGTTATAATTTTTTTGATTTTTTGGCGCCGAAATTATGTGTTTTCTGGCAAGCAGGGCAACTTTATGTTCTCATTATAAACTTTATACAGCATTAAGTTAAATTAAACTGATAAAAAAAACAAGAATTTTGTATTACATTTTTTTTTTTAATTCTAACGATACCGGCCTTACTTAATACCAAACATTATTAATACCAAACATTTTTAAATAAAAGATTGTTGTGAAAGAATTTTTTTAATCTGTAATTATAGAGCTATAAATGATTATTAGTCATTAAATTAGTATATATATAAGTCATATTAAAAGCTATTATTTCTTGATCCCCGACTGGGATACGAACCGATGTCTAAAAATTCACAGACCGACTGCTTACCAAACTGGGCCACTGAGGCAAATCAAATACTCATGTCGGGGACATGAATATGTACATACAGGACAGAGCACAAAAACAATTCTCCTTTCTAGAATTTTTGGTCTTATATTAAGATTTTATTTTAGAAATGCACAAATTCTTAAAATAAGATTTATTTTTTATCAGTGTAGAAACTTAAATATAATACCCCCCATATTGTATACATATTTAAGTGGCTTGGCCTATTGATTTTTTTAATTCCATATTTTTTAGTTATGATTTCCATAACTTCATTTATTGCAACATTCGAATAAACATAGAACATTTTTTACTCTTATGAAAATGTATTTTATTTACTAAAGAAAAATATAATAATATCCCTAAATTTTGTACATGCCAGATTCCCCGGCAACAATGCTGCAGCAACATTTCCACCCGCCGAACGAGCCAGAGCGAGAGGGAAGTGCGTGAGAGCAAAAGAGAGACAGGGAACGACAACAACAAACAGCGAGAGAGAAGCGCTTCGTAAATTTCAGCGACAGTTCAATCTTAATTTAGCTATTTTCCCACTCGCAAAAGTTGAAAGGACAGAATATAAGGAAAAATTATAAGTAAATACAACAAATTATTCATTTGACATTCCTTTTTATTTTAGGCGAACGAATCTTGCAAAAACGATAAAGCGCATTTTAGAAAATTAAATTTACAGTAACAGCATAACTCAAGCCACAAACCGAAAGGGCTCTTAATTTAACTGTTTCCCTATGTTAATTTAATTTGTATTATTTTAGCAGGCTTATTTAAATTAGTTGCAAATTACATTAGCCTTTTAAAATTTTAAATATGCTAGAAAAAGTATAAATACATACAAAATTTTAAATAACATAAAAAAGTCAATAGCTATTTCCCACTAGATCTAGCGTCTTTCAATTGCAAGTGGTGAGTTGTGAAATTCAACACACCACTCTGTACTCTCATTCTGCTTATTCCGCAAGCCAAATTCTCTCTCTCCCAGTGTTTCGTAGCAGTGTTGCCATTTTAGCTATTTCTTGTTGCCAGATCTAGCTATTTTGAAACGGCAAACGCAATATAATTTAATAAAATGCTATAGCTGGAAAAAACGAAAAGGGAAATAGCCAAAGTCAGCTGGCAACACTGCCTTACCTTACCTGGCGTCCGCCGCAATTTACCAATTTCAAAAAAAAATTTTCACTGAACGAAGGCGGTTGTGCCGCGGACAAAATATTTAAAATATTTTTTGAAACGAGAAGACCGGAAAAGCGAATCGAACTATCTTCCGTGGAAGCATTAAACATATTAACGGTCGCGCGATTTAAAATAACTGAAAATATCGCAACGAAATAAAACGAAGAAAAGTGTGTGCCGCGAACTGCCAGTGAAATTAATTTCCCGCGAATGTTGGCAGTTCCGAATTTGAAATTCAAAAAGTGAAAGAACCGACACAAATAAGCGCTAGTGATCTTCTTAGTTTGAAAACGCAAAAAGTGAATTTTGTGTTCTGTTCTCTGTTGTTTGCGCCAAAAAATTCAACAAAAATCGCCACGGTGCAGCGCCGTTAGTTTTCCTTCTCCCTTTTCTGCGTTGCGCGAAAAGGAGGAGGCGAGTGAAGCAGGCCGCTAAAAAATAAGTTTCGCGAAAATTATAAATAAACACAACATACAGCAACAACAAAAATGTGGCTCGTGCACGTGTAGCTAGGCAGCAACAACAAAAATGCTAAAGGCGAATAATCGCAGGCAGCAGATTAGCGAAAAATACAACAAATAAATACATTAAACAATTTGAGTAGTTGCTGCACATACACACACATATACAACACACACGCACCACATCACACACTCACACTCAACACACACCCGTGGATTATTACACTAAAAAGCGACACTCAATTCATCCCAAAAAACAATAAACATGCATTGGATTAAATGTTTATTAACGGCATTCATTTGCTGCACAGTCATCGTACAGGTGAGTTTTCCCCCAAACACTCGTCTTCGCTCCCCTTTGCAGTTTATGTTTTTGGCACTTTTCCCTATTCCGCTCTACACATGCGTGCACCGTTTCTGCAGCTGCCGTGGTGTGCGGGGGATAGCGTGAAAGGAGGAGGGAGACACAAAGCTTTAAGAGTTGCCAGGCTTTTCGAATCTAAAAATGTGATATTCCGCAAGAATTTGGTTAATTTGTTAGTTAATTCTTAAAAGCAAGTTCTCGTTGTTTGTACCCTTGATTTTCTATCAAATATGTTTGTATGTATGTACATATCTTAAAATCGATGCAAATCTATTTGTTTTCAGTAACTACAGCCCCTCTATATCTTGTAATTTGAGAACTTTTGAAATGAAACAGCTGGTTCTAAAATTAAGCGGGTTTACTTTTAGGGGTGGATATTGTGTGATCACCCTTTTAGGGCAGCATATTCATTGATAGAAAACTAGTTTGTGAAATGGACAAGGCCAATGGCCAAACAGGTCCATGAAAAAAAACAGAAACTGTTGAATACAATTACACAGAGGGAAAATTATAAACAAGTCAGGAGAACCTTTTCTTATCATGAATGAAAGGCTTCGATTCTTCCCGTTTCCTTATGTGTATGAACAAAACCTATTCTTAAAAAATAGTATTTCTTGCTAAAGCTACTTTTATTAATCCAAAATAAAGCCTGTCGATTCAGTTCTTATTTTACCACAAGTACTATCTTGTACTTTACTTAGGGTTTCCGGATTCCGCTCACTTTTTTGCTGTGTAAAAAAGATAAAGATAATCAAAGTCTGCCTCAACATTAGCATCAAAATTTACCACCAACGGCGCATGCCGCTTGCACAGCAGCAAAAAATTAAAAAACTGCTCGATTTCAATACCAAGCTTGGCGAACAGTTCAAGTTGATGAGGATGACGATGCTGGGCAACATCTGCCGTTGTCGCTGTCATCTCTTCTTCCCTTCTCCGCTTTGCATGCGCTTTTTACATGCGATTTTTTCGGTTTACTTTACGCTCTGCGTAGGTCAACGGCGACACATGCGCAGCTTCACTTGCTGCGTTCCTTCATTCCTCTCCTTTCGCCTCGTTCTCTGCCATGCTTTCATTGATCTTTAACGCCAACATCTCCGGCAACACGGCAAGAAAATTTCAAATTATTGACAGCAATATTACACTTTTAATACGTTTTTTAAGATCTCATTTTTACTAAATCGAATCCTAAGGCATTTAAAGGATCTAATTTGTGACAAAATTTGATATCTACTGAATAACAATATGTGATTTTTAACATAATTTCCATACCTTCTTAGATTATCTTTGTAAATGAAAGTAATGTAATTAGTTAAAAATAACACTTAGAAAAAATTAAAATTCATTTATTTTCCGTGTATATTGCATGTGCTCCGTTCCCAAACTCTCTTTCTATATCTCGTGTTTTTTCCCCAACTTTGGCACGTTGCGTGCTTACTTTGTTCGTCGTCATCCAGCTTCTTTTTTCCGGGCCTTTCTTTAGTCGCTAATTTGAACAACGTTCCGAAAAAGTGTCTCCACGCCAACCTCCTGGGGTCTTGAATAAGTTGGATCGTAAATAAGTATAGTGCTTGTGTGGATACATATATGGGAACATCTGCCTAGTGGATCCCTAAACTCTGACTCACTCATTCCCCACTCGAGTCAGAGGTGGAATGTAGAATAGTTTAATTTGCCATTTAAAATAATATCTCGGGCAATTAGCCCACCATTAGCAATGCAATTTAATTCAATTTCGTACCCATTCTATAATGTGATATTCTCACAATTTCAGTTTAACCATCAAATAACCGTAGTCGTTCGCTGTCCCCCAGTCCCCATGTCTTTCGGTTTTGCATTTATGCAATTTTCATATTAACATTGAGCGCTGAAGGAATGAAGGCAGATGAATGAATGAATGAAGACACTTGGGGAGCTCTATTTCTTCGGTTCCCCTTTCTTCTGTTCCGCATAACGTAATTAATTGCAATTTAGAGGCGAACTCCCACACACTGGGAGAAAAGCCCACTAGGACGGAGGGTGATTCACTTGCGCTTCTAACTGTTTCCCAGGCCCGTTGTGCTAACGGTTGATTATGATGATGAATTTAAATGATTAATAAACAACATCCAGGTGGAAAAAGGGGCATCTGAACAGCAAACACCTGTGTACGAAAGTCCGGGAAAAGTCGGGGAAAATTATAATAAAAATGCGTGCTTTCATATATTTTTATGTCCCCTTGTGTTTTCTTCTTTTTGTTTTTTGTTTTTGTAACCCCCAACAACAAATGTCTGTCAGTCAACAAGGCAAGTTGACGTGGAAATGGCAAGAAATGAGAGAGGGAGAAAAATAAACGAAGAACTAACTAACTTTACTAGTCGCTTCAAGCTTCAGTGATCGCAGTAAAAATAGGAGTACCCAGGGTTCAGTAAAAAAGCAAATGAAAGAAAGAAACGAAGACTCAGACAAAGACAAAGAACGGCTCAAGCAAAAGGTAAACAATGCAACGCACTATTTTCTAACACTTTAGCAAGTGTCTGTCTCCCACCTGAGAGCTGCTTGGCCTTTTACAGCTTTCAAGTTCCACAGTTCCAACTGGGGGAACCCTCGTAGCTGTAGAAAAAAAGGTCTTCAAGCATAGGGGTTTCAAGTTTGGGGTTTGGGGCCTAGAGAGTTCATAGTTGAAGGCAAAGGCAAATAAAATAAAACACTTTAACAAGTGTACCTATGCCAAAGTTATGTGGCAGATTGTGCAAGGTAGAATGGAGTTTTGAGTGCCTAAAAAAAGTTATCCGAGGAAAAGAAAATAATGAATATTACATCTTTGAATTAAATGCTAAATATATTGTTGTATTAAATATAATATTTAATAGTTATTAAAAAAAAACTTAAAAATATAACCTATTTGTTAGGTGACATTTTCATTCACAAATACTATAAAAATCCTTAGATTTGTCGGATGTTTAGAAAAGTGTGATAAACTGTAACCAAAAATTGGTGTCATATGCTGGACAAAACTATTGTGGTTTTAACGATTGCATTTTTTGTTTTGTTTTGTTTTTTGCTTCCCACCATTCCGAGAGTGTGCGAGTGTTATGCAAATTGATTGTTGTTTCTTGTGTACATATTTTGACTGCACCTTCATTTGTGTGTGTTTTGGGCTTTTTGTTTGTCTCAGTTTCTCGCGGCCTATCAAAATCAAAATACAAATGTAGTTTTGGCTTTCCATTGACCACGCCTCCATCCCCCATATCCCCACTCCATGTACTCTTCTTCATCTTCCTTCCGCTCAATGGTTTTTCTAACATTTCTTCTGTTCTTTCTCTTTCGGGTTCTTTTATTAATTCAGACGCTTTGCAGCATCGTCTATTAATTCTTTTTTGCCTCCCTTCTTGTTCTTTTTTTGCGCATATTTATGCTCTTCTTCAAAGCGCCGTTGAAAACAAGTTTTTGCTCAGCCACAGCCGCTCTCTGCCTCTCGCTCTTTGGAGCAGCTGCCAGCTGCAGTTTTTGTAAGCTTACACACATACACATAGCACTGAGAAACACGCGACTCCAATTCACTTTTAAGTCACGTTTTGCTCTTTTTGCGCTCAGCTGACAACAACAACGTCGCGCTTTGCCGCTCTCGCAGTGTGCGTGTGTGTGTTAAACTGTTATAGCTTTGGGGGCTTTCGCTCTCTCGGCGATCTTTCAATATGGCTGCATTCGCTGCTCTTCTTCACCTGGCGTTGCCTCGCTTTACACCTTTTGCAGCCGCCGCTCTCTGGCTCTCCCATCGCTGCCTCTCTCCCTCTCTCTCTCTTCGCCGCCATCAGTGTTGACCGGCAAAATCGTATGCCGTGGGAAACAATTCGGTTTTACTTGTACATTTTTTCATCGTTTTTCCTCGCTGCCTCGGCCGGCGTCGCTGCTAGAGTCACTGCCTGTTGCTGCTGCTTCTTTTTTTTACGTTTTTTCTTTGCTCTTTGTTGTTTTTCTTGTGTGCTTTGTTTTTGTTGGCTGCTTATTAATACACATTTGTTGTTGTTGCGCTCGCCTTACTTGCTGCGTTCGTTGCCTAAGTCTTTCGTTTTGGCGTTTACCTTTCCTCGCTTATTGCTCGATTTATAATAATTTTATTACAAATTAGTAAAATATAACACCATCGCTGTTTAAAAATAGCAAAATAGTGTTAAAAAATAATATTTAATTATTAATTTAATTTAATGAACTTTTAACGGCAGCCTTACTCTGAATTCCCTTCTCGACAATCACAATTGGATAAGGCTTTGAGCAATTTTAGCGCCAGCTTCTTTTGTATTTCTATTTTCCTGGGAGGATTACACCTGTGATCCAGAGCCACAGCATCTGTGGACCGCACTTCTGCTTAATTGAGCAATTAAACACCCATGTTCATACGAAAGCGAAGAGGAAAACCGACAAAACTTCCCATTCCTCCCCAGCCACATGTGGAGCACTCTACGATAAATAGAGAGCCGCGGAGGAGAGGGTACACAGACAGATAGTCATATACCTCCGACTGACTGCTGTGCTCATGTCTTGTTAACAATTAAATTGTCGTTTTAACAAGCTTCACTTGTTGTGGCTGAAATGTTAATTGCCGAACAGTTATAGAAAACGGAGCAATAACTCCGTAGTGCGCCTATTTTTGGGCATTGGCTGGTTGTCTAGCCCATTTATGGGCCCAGATGATGAAGTCATAATTAAATTTTAAGTGGCACCTCCAAAACAAGGTGTAAAGTGAATCTCCCTTCAAAGTGAGCAGTCGAGAAAAGCCTCCGAACCTGCAATTTCAAAGATTATAGATGTAATTTTTTTGTATACTAAAGATTTTAATTGATTTCCGATTTCGTTTATTATTAAATTTTTTTGAGTAGCAGTCTTCTTTGCGGAATTTGTACATCACTAAAAAAAAATTCCTTACTAGAAAAATCCTTCATTATTTATTACAATGTGTCAAACGAAACTTTCGAACACAAGCTTGACCCATTTAGCTAATTTACCTCACACCTCGCCTAACACCGCGTAAAAATCTCTTCTCGGAGCAAATTAATTGAGAAATTTATGGGACGACGGCTATCAAACAAATTTGCAAATCCAAATATGCAAATATTGTCGGCGCTTCAAAACGAAAGTCGAGCAGAAAGCCAAGTCAAGTTAAGGCGGCGAGCAAACCAAGTGGAATTTATTGCAAAAACCGAATCGGACCGAAACGAAGCGGAGCGGAGTGGAGCGAAGAAAACGACCGCTTGCTGAGCATTTGTCATGTGGCGGGCTTTTCGATTTCGTTTTTTCGGTTTCGGTTTTGGATTCGGTTCTCGCTTAATATTTCATAAGCCTGTTTTGGCTTCGTTTTGTCCTTTGCATGGGTCTCTCTGCCTCGCCGCTGCTGCTTAAAAATTCCTCTGCAATTTCAGTTTTTGTTCAAATACCACGTTGAAAGATTTATCGTCTGGCCTGGGAGCTGCTGTTGCATTCTTTGTTTTCCGATTTTGCCCCTTTTTCTTTCGGATCTGTGTGCCTGTTGTGTGTCCCCCTTAATGAATTGCTTTTTAATTTGATTTGACTAATAAATATATGCCCTCCTCTCACTCTCGCAGGTTCACAGTTCCGGCAGCTTTGAGTTGCGACTGAAGTACTTCAGCAACGAGCATGGGCGCGACCATGAGGGTCGCTGCTGCAGCGGGGACGCGGATGCGGCAACGGGCAAATGTCTGGGCAGCTGCAAGACGCGGTTTCGCGTCTGCCTGAAGCACTACCAGGCCACCATCGACACCACCTCGCAGTGCACCTACGGGGACGTGGTGACGCCCATTCTAGGCGAGAACTCGGTCAACCTGACCGATGCGCAGCGCTTTCAGAACAAGGGCTTCACGAACCCCATCCAGTTCCCCTTTCAGTTCTCATGGCCGGTAAGTATCATAGGAATTATAATCTTAAAGTGAAAGTCCATCTAAAGTTAGACTCACATTGACTTTAATTATGGGTTGCCATTTAATGAAGACCAAATTAATAAATCACTCCGTGAAAAATGACTAGAATAAAGGGCCTAAAACCGCCAAAGACTTGCTCCGATCACTCTATATGGACTGCGTGTGTTTGGATCACTCTAAATTTAGATTTACCCTGCCAGTCAATAAAAATTTCCAAGTTGTCTTCCACACAAACATACGTCGCGTGGTTTTCGCCAGAAAACTTATTCGTGCGGCATCTTTGCTAATTTGTTTGGGCTTTTTATAGTTCCCAAGCCGCCTCCCCCCGATCTCTCTCTTTCTTCCAGTTGGAGGAGAACAACTCCCCTGTGCCGCGTTTATTTCCGCTGGGCGTCCTTGTCGAGGGTTGTTGGCGCACACGTCGCACCAAACATCTGTCGGCTATTAAAAATGCGCTGAAAAACGCGTGCGCGAACCGCAGCACGCCGCACCACCATCACCGTGAACGTCACCACCATTCATCGCCACCACCACCACCAGTGATCCCATAGGATCCGAACCATTACGAACCATTCCGTGCTGAGCAGGAGAGCGACAAATTTTCAGATCGCTGGCGCACAGGGTTATAGTGTATAACCCACCCTAGAGCTCTTGGAACTGCCGTTACTTTTTGCTCCGTCTTTTTCCTATTTTGACTTCTGTGGAGGTGACTTAACATTAATACTCCCATTAGAACTTTCTGAAAATCGAGTATTTTATTTCCCATTTGAATTTTTTGAAGCAATTTTATTTTGTAACAGTCTTCTTAAATAAGTCAAAGACGTTCCCTTCTTTTAATCCCGTTTTTAAAGCGCACGTGTGCTTAATAAATTGTTAACATTTTGAAATACCGCCACAGACGCTCGTCTTTATTCTGTTCAGCTCGACTGACCAAGAAAACTATATACATTGCGGTTGTGGCTCGGCCCCGGCATGCCGTGCATTTCTTAATTATTATTACGACAAGAGGCTCTGCAACATTCACTCTAGATGAGGATGAGGATGGGTCCACCCTAGAAACGAAGAAGTTACTCAAGCTTCAAAATATTCATGCCAGCATTAACTGGAGTTTGTAACGTTTTTTTGTGTCAGTGCGCCGGCAGCTTAAGGGGTGGTTTTACCTCTCTCAGTCCCCATGGAGAATTTTCCTAACCCGAACCCCCTTTTCTATAGTATTTTCGCTATTTCCCTCTCTGCGTAGGCACTTTATTACCTAATTGTTCAGCGCTGCGCATGTGCAGCGTCACTATTATTACTCAGGTGTGCGGAGTCATGGCTGGAAAAGGGAGAGGGAAGTGAAGACCAAGAGCCGAGGTAGCGAAAGATGTTTGGCACGTGAAATGTGTAAGCTGCATACATTTTTAGCGGTTAAGCTGCGGGCGAGCATACATATGTACATAAATAAGCAATTAGCGAACTGTGGGTTGGTATAATTAAAATAACCCGAAGAGCCTCAAAAAGCACGCGCCAAACGGGAAATTAGGGCTGTAAAAGGACGGATGACTCTAAGCCCAGCTTTTGATATATCCATGATATATATATATGGTTATATGGTTAAATAAAGGATTCATTTTGATAAATGTATTAAAGAAATATATATTCACCCCCTTTTTCGGAGCTCCAAAATTAGGTGGCTGTATATTTTTAGGCTTCTAACACATTCTAGACTTTATTTCGGTCTGTTTCCGCGCACTTTCAACTTCAAATTATTTCTAGGTCAAACTATAAATTTAATTATAGTATGGCTGTGCCGGCTGCCGCCTCATCAACTAATTTAGTGTTGCACTTAATTAAAACAACGAAAGACGAGAGCCACGCATGCCTGACGACACGCCAGAAGATGTGGCCGATGTAGCACGGGGGTTGCCACCGCCCCAGTCCCTATCACTGTCCCTGTCCCTGTCCCTGCCACTCCCCATTTTTGTCGTCCGCCCCTTCGTCTGCCACTCCCTCCCCCCCCGTAGTGACTAAAAATAGTCGAGCAGCGATGGCAGGCAGGCAGGCAGCATTCACGCTCCTCTTGTTCGTATTGAACTTTGCAACTTTTGTCCCCCCGTCAGACAGAGTCTTGTCTTGTGTCTTCTGTGTTGTGTCTTGTGTCTTCAGTCTTCGGGTGGTGTCTTCCGAGAGAGCCAGTTGTTCCCCCGTGGCTGTTGCTACGTGTCTGGCCACGGCTACCACTCCTACTCCCGGGCAGGCACAGGCACTCCACCCTATCCAGATCCCTATGCCAAGCGCTATATGCTGGATATTGACGTTGATATACAGCACCGACGCACGCGATATTCACTAAGCGGCCGCTGATGCATGTTGCCTCATTTATTTTTGGATCTGGCATACGCCAATGCACGAGTACTCGCATTTTATATATATGTATGAATGTACTTAAGTTATCAGCTACAGGAAGGCGTTTCAGGTGAAAAATAAGCATTTCCTTGATGTGCTTGAAGTCTTAGGCCTTGTATTCCCCAAAAACTAAAGCCTTAAATCGCATTGAGCTAAAAATCAATCTCAAGCTTAGTTCAAGTATTGTTTTTTAAAGTATTACATTGAATACTTGAATAAAAAACATATTTCCGATTCAAGCCTTGTAGAAAATTTCCCACAACTTGGAAAATTTGAAGCCTACAATCACGTAGACACCATTGAAAAGTTTATTTCTCTGCACAATAAAACCAATAAACCATCGCAGCGCTTCATTTCATTTGTTATTACCTTTCCTGCTCATTTCCCATTGTGCGCCGCTGGTAAAGCTGATCATCTATGTCTGATTTGCTTCCTGTCGTGCCCATATAAATTTTACGTTTATTTGCAACGACAAATAGAAGAGATCCGCACACAGTTTCAATGCCTGCCCGGCACACCAGCAGCAGCAAATGGCAATCGTTATGCAATCAATCGGCAACACTGTGGCTTATCAACCAAATTAATTCTACATCTCTGGCTGGCATGGCATATAGGCCTATGTGTACATCCCACGCACAATCGAAAGTTGGTCGAAAAATTAGTCATTTACATGCAATGCAGCGCGAATCAAAATGCAATATATGTACATATGTATTTATATATGCAACTTGAAAACCCGCTGCGGCAGAGACACCTCTGCAAAAGTTTCCATGGGCTGGTTTTTAAAGTCGCACTCGCACTCGGATTCGGATTTGGACTCGGATTTTGTGTCATCTCTGCCGGTTTTTCCAGCAGCGGTGCATTCGAAATCAAGTGTGAATTGAGGGCGCTGCCTGCCGGTTGCATTCGAAGTTGGCGATTTGCATTTGAAATGCATTCGCGTTGCATTAGATTCGAGATATTCGGTGGACTGGTGGCGATTGCGGATCGTGTGGGCGGGCGGACAGGCGGACGACCTGTCATAATCCCCCTATAATGAGTGCTCTCTGTGGGGGCTGGAGAGGGTACGGGTCCCATTAGCTCGGAATTAGTTATAGCCGATGCGGTTTGATAAGTGCGACTGGCGGCATTAATGCCTGTCACTTCCCGTTTAGATGTGAACTTTCTTTAACCATTTCCCCTTCTTTTTCTTTCAACTTGCAGGGCACCTTCTCGCTGATCGTCGAGGCCTGGCATGACACGAACAACAGCGGCAACGCCCGTTCCAACAGTAAGTTAATATATTTATGTATATGTGTTATAAATAATTTTTAGCCTGTAAAATTACTTCCTTGAGCCAATTTTGGTTATGGACTCATCCTGCTTCCTGCGCTGATCGACTGACGAAAGTGCGACCCGAAACGAAGGATCGCAACTTGATACTCGGTCGGTCGGTTGGGTTCTAGCTCTTCTGGCTTTGCTCTTCTCGCTCAGTGTAAGATTTCCGGGGTATTGAGTGGTTTTAAATAACAAACAACACACATACACCACGTTCGGGGGGATGGATAAACCTGGGCCAGACTTTGTCGCCTTTTGTTGTCTGTCCGCTGGAACGGAAGTGTGCTTGAAGTTGAGGATGGCCCATCCCTCATTTGCTTAAAATGCAATTAAGCTCTCGGGCTCACGAACTAAACGCTAGCTCCAGGTCCAAGTCTCGATCGCAGATCGGAGAGATCGTGTGTAATCCATCTTGGAACAATGCTACATGGATCTGTGTGTAGTAACTGATTGTCTTCCACAGATAAGGACCACACAAGGATCTAGCGAGCGGAGCGAAGTCCTTGGAAGCCGAAAACCAGAAAACGATTTTTGTTTCTTAAAGAGAAAAGAAAGAATTCCTCAACTCTGTATACACACTTTTTGGTGGCCGATTTTCCCACAGCATTTGATGAAAAAGATGAGGAGGAGTAGCTACCTGCTTGGGGCTTAACTACCTGCACTTTCTTTTGGCTCAAGATTTATGGAGTTTTCATAGGAATCTCTAGCCTGTTCTTTCCTTTGTTTTTTTGTTATAATCATTTCATTTCATTTTTTATCTTTGTCCCTTTTCGGTTTTCTATATTTAGTTTGCCCTATTCCTTGCAGGAATTTTAATTGTTGTGCTCGGAGCTCCGCTCCACAACAGATTTTCCTTGGCTGGCGGCTTCCCGCTGGGCTGGCATGGCTGCAGGCTAATTTCCGAGGCGGTCCCAGGCTAATAGATCTTTATCGGTGCCGGGGACCGGTACAAGTATCCCCGCCCGTCTGCTAGACAGCAATTGCAATTTCAATTTCTGCGCACACACCGAGATTTCCTAGTCGCCGCCGCCTGTCAAGGATTAATTTCATTATTTAAAAGTATGCAACAAAGTTTTTTTTTTGCTCCTCGATCTCCCGCATACTTGGACTTGCATAGCAAGTTTACGCTGCAGCAACGAGTTTAGCTCTTTTTTGTTATATTCATTTAACATAAATTACATAAAGGAGGGAAGAGGAGGGCTCTGCGGCGAAGGAGGGGAGTAAACGCCAAGCACATGGCGACCTTTTCGCCAGGTTTTCGCCCAGAGCCTGCGGCCAACAAAACAGCCAAGAGCCACAGCAACCGGACCTGCTGGGCAGAACAAATCTAAATGTTCTCGGTTCGAAGGCAAGTGCACAGTGAAAAAAATGACCTTATACAAGGCTCAAAATATTATATTACAATTAAAAAGATTGGGTTTTTAACAGAATCTCATCAATGTAATATAAAAATACTCACATACAAATCAAAGTTCAAGTTGTTTTATAGCTTGGTTTAACAAACAAACTTGTTTCCAGTGCACAAAGGTATTGCAAGGTGATTCTCGGGCCTCTCGGCTTGATGCGTTCAGCAAATCTTCCGACTCACGGCTCTCGAGATTTTCGCCACAGTCGCGGCTGCTCCTCGGTTTCCTCGCCTCCATCCCTGCCCACCAATTAATCTCTGCCAATGCCAAAGTTGTTAGTTGCACGTTGCCGTTGCTCAGCCGCCCTGCTCTCCTCCGGGTTCGATGTTGTTAAAATGCTTATCTTTTAATTTTAACTCATTGGATCAAGAAGCGGCGGCCCGGCAACAAGAGCCCAACTCTTTTTCGACTTGGCTTCCTTCGATCTTTTTGCCAGCCTTCTGTCTGCCACAAAACTTGTCGTTGTCGTTGTGGTCGCTTTTCGTTTTTGTTGTCGTCGTGTGTCTTGATAAAATGGTATTTTCGAAAAAATTCCTCAAGTCCAAGTCAGCGATACTTTGGGGAGGCGGATGCTGGAAATAAAATGGGGGGAGTCCTGACGAAGAAAAGAGACTCCTGTATATAGAGTCAAGTTTGGATTTCTTGTTGCTCATTTGATGCTTACAAATTTCACTCATTTGTTAAGCTTGATTTTAGTTTCGTTAGATTGCTAAATGCCTAAAATTATTGTTGTTATCTAAGTGCCTCGCTGGAGAAACTCCACCACGTTTCCGCCATCACTGCTCACTTTTCTCAGGCATTGCGAAAGTTGTCACACGCCGCTTTTCCACAGATAATTATACAAATATTTCAGCAAAATTTGCCTGATATATTTTATTGCACGTTTTTCTCAAAACTTGCCAAACTGGCCAGAAATTGTGCGTCTCTTGTGCCGGCTTGTCTAATAACCTGTCATGCCACAAATCCTATGGGCTTTATCGCACTAGTAGTGGTGTGCTGCAAATGTAAATAAAACCACAAAGTACAATTCCAATTTTGTTGTATTTATTTTTTATGTTTTTGGGAATGTTGTCGGCTGGTGCGATTTTTGCATTGAATGCTTTTCCATGTTGTCGGCCGGTCCCGTTGGTCGGCGGCGGCACCGGTGAAGCAGGTGAAGCACACGAGTTTTGCCCAAAAATGCAATTGCCAACAGCCAACAGCTAACAGCTAGCTAACTGGCTAAGAATTCTTGTTGGCTGTGCATATTTTTGGTAATTAATTAGTGAGTATTTGGAGTTGCCGAATTTTGCATTTAATATTTTTATTGGCCAACTGGTTGTCTGGCCTGGTCTGCTTGTCAATAAGCGTGCTCCATGTGTGTGCTGTCCGTGCCGTGTAATATATATCTTTGACAGTGTATATTTGGGCAAATGTTGCTCAACTTTCAGAGGCAATCCTTGCCTGATCCGGATCTAACTTTCCCTGTTTGAAAGAGGGATTTCCTAGAGGATCGTTGTTCTTTGATTTGTACAGTTTAAATATTTGCTATTTGACATTGGGGGGATAGATAGTAGAGACTGGGGGCTGTGGCTTTGCATTTGCATTTAGCTTTGTCTTTAGCTTGAGCTTTGCAATTCGAATAGTCATGCACCTGCAATTTACTTTATAGACCATGGCATAATGTGGCTGCACATGTATCTGTGGCTGCATCGGTGCCTGTATCTGTATCTGTATCTGTGGTTGTATCTGCACACAAACGAGTTGCCAGCCAGCCATCTCCCAAAGTCGAGACCGGTCGTCGAACAGCTGAAAAATGCTTCGACGAGCTTGGCTGGCGGTCTGCCTGCTGCCTTCTTTTTTCTTTAGTTTGCTGGCTGCGAGTATTTTATTTAATTTTTTTCTTTGCCTTTGCCATGCCCCGTGTCTGTCTGCTAGTTTGCCTCTCTCATCGCCAAATACCAAGTGGTACTCCGTACTCCGGACTCCGTACCCTAGCCGAGCTGCATACCTCAGCTTGAGCACTTGACTCTGTGACAGGCAATTGCATTTCGGGGGTATTCAAGTTGCTTCGTTCGACTTTAGTTTCGGATTCGGTTTTGGGCTTGTGTTGGGGTTTTGGGTTTTCGGTTTTTCATTTTCCATTTTCCGTTTGCTGCATTCCAAACATAGGTTTTTGCCTTGAGCGCCATCTCATCGGATCATCTTTAACCCAATTAATCTTCATTAGTTTATCGCTCAGCCCCAGCTTGTTCTCACACACTAATCGTGGTCCCAATCTCTCTTCGTTACAGATCAACTTATCCAGCGGTTGTTGGTGCAGCAGGTACTCGAGGTGTCCTCCGAGTGGAAGACCAACAAGTCGGAGTCGCAGTACACGTCACTGGAGTACGATTTCCGTGTCACCTGCGATGCCAACTACTACGGGTCCGGCTGTTCCCAATTCTGCAGGCCGCGAGACGATTCCTTCGGCCACTCCACCTGCTCGGAGACGGGAGACATTATCTGCTTGACCGGATGGCAGGGCGACTACTGTCACATACGTAAGTATAATTGTTCCCTATAATTATTTCGTGATTTCTTGAAAGACTCCCCCTGAAAAGTCAGCCAAAGCTTCACGTTTGTGTCTGTGCTGGGATATCCATTCGGATCAATAGCCTCCATCAACTCGCCACGCATTCTTTACGCCGAAAACACTTGGCCCGCTGTTTGTTGTTGCTTCTGCCGATCTCCCGACTCAAGTGGCTCAAAACTTCAGTTTTTATTTATTTATTATCATTTTTTAGCCTGGCAGCTCTCATTATTATTGAAAATCACTTGCTTGTCAAATCAAATGAGATGATTGCACACAATGCCCAAAAACAGACAGCGAACCAAACGGCTGCTGCTGCCCCAAACGAATTAAAGTATAATTATTTTCGAATGCGTACGGCGATGATGATGATGATGAGTTGACAAAAATGAAACTATGAATTTGAATACCATTTGAAAATGGCTCTCTGTTCGAGTGGAAAAAGTCAAAGTCAAACAAATAAATTAAAAATCAATGAAGTTCGGGATGCGTAAACCGAGACCCAAAAACCGAAAATGCAGGAGATGTTGTGGGGAAAAGCCATTTGTCATTGGCGGAGAACAAAACGTCTAACGAACTTGAGTATCCAAAACTTGCCGAAAGCAGAAATTCGGGCAGCCCTTTGTAGTCCGGAGCGGTAGTAGGTTGCTACTATACCTTTACCAACATTTTCAACTGTGAATCAGAGCAGCAGCCGACACACACAAACACACACAGGGCGAACCGAAACGATGACGAGGAGCAGGGCATACAAAAATCTTCCCACGCCAAGTGCAAGGGCCCGGGTTTTCGGACCAAAAAGGTGTGGTATCTGTATGTCTGCGTAAGGGGTCCACTCTTCTCCACTCCACCACCAGCACCGACACAGATACAGCAGCAGCAGCAGCTTGATGATCATGAGTCTCGTCTCGGTACTCGGTTGTGGGTTCTCCGTTCTTGGTCTTCGGATCGGATGGGTTCGGTTCGCTTTGGCTGGGTTTCGGTGTTGGTTGATCGTCTGCATGCCGAGCATTTCTGAGGACCCGGCAAGAGTTGACCGAAGAACAAACTTCCTTAAGGGCTGTGGCAACGTCTGATTACACCTTAAATGTCGTGTCTCCTGGAAGACTGGCTTCTTCGGCAATTCTCGGTCTCGGCCACATCTTCTCCTTCTGCTCCTCCTTCTCTCAAGCTTGCCTCGGCTGCCTTTTTTTTCGGGGCAGATAATTTTTGTGTCCTGCTGCCGGTTTAGCAAGTTGGCAGCGGAAGAGGCAGCTGCTCCTGCTTGATATATTTTTTTTCAACTTAAATGCGCAGAAATGAGGTAAAATTAAGGCACACTCACTCACACATGTGTGAAAATTGTTTTCCAGCAGCAGCAGCAGCAAATAAAAAGGCCAAACGTGCAGGCTGCAAAAACAAAACAGAACCTTCAGGATGAAAATAAAACATAAAAAACGGAGAGACTTGCTCAAGTGGAAGTGGCCAAGTAAATTGGCTCAGAAGGTCTCTTTTTACCCTCATGTTTTCTGCGTTTTTCGGCAGTGTGTGCGTATATGAATGGAGTTAATTGCAAGGAAATGAGCTATTGGGCTAAGAGTTCATGAATGGCAGGCCTCAGCAGCCACTTGCCTGTGGGTGCTGAGCGTACATCTGCGAGATGCCTTAATGGGGGCTAGGGTACCCAGAACCCTGGCTAAAAGTGAAAGTCAAGTGTGGAGATATATCATTCGATTAGGGCCGATTATCTCTGCCTTGGGGCGTGTGAATTTATTTTTTCACTTTCAGACGGCGGCGGCGGCAGGCTGCGAAAATCTATTTCCAGCTACGCTCTGCACTCTGGCTGCGGGCGATGGTAATAAAAATCATTGGCAATTGCCAATTTTACGCTCTTTCCCTATATATATATTAAAAGGGGGCTGCTGCGGCTCTGGGACTCGGTTGAGAACACGTTTTTGTGATTTTCTAGCAATTTTCCTGCCGCCGCCGCTTGCTTCTGAATGAAACTCGGTTTAAAGAGGAGCATCTAGCTCCAGCTCCAGCTCCGTCCGCAGCTCTCAGCTCCTTCCACGTTCTGGGCTCCTTTTGGCATTGCCTTTTTTAGTTTTGTTCACGACTTTTACCCCTTCTCTAGGCCCTTGTGGCAACTCCCCAGCTTCCTGCCATCTTCCTCTTCGGCTTCACTCGCCGGCCGAAACATGTTTGCCACATTCTTCGGAGAGATCCCAGCTCTAGCTCCGACTCCCGACTCCCGAGTCCGTCTCCGTCTCTGTCTCCAACTCCGGCTTCCAATCGATGTTTTCGTCGAACCTTTCGAGCTTGGGAATCTGTTTTCTGTTTTGGGCCACGGCCTCCGCCTCAGCTGCCGCTGCTGCTTCTTCTTCTCCTGGCCATGGGATTATTTCATTTTGTGTGTTTCCTTTTTGGCCTTAGAAACAAGTTATTCCTGCTCTTGGCTCGCTTAAAACTCTCTTCGCACACTGCCAAAACACTGAAACTTTGAGAGCCACTGGCCATGATTCATTTTTATAGTTTATAGTTTTTTTGTTGTCTTTTTTTTTTGTCTTAGTCTCTGCTGTGCTAAAACGTTTTAAACGTTTTTCTATTGTTTGGCGCGCGGCTGTTGTTTTATTTCCCGAAAAAGAGACATCTTTTTTGGGGGAGATTTTCATTGCCAGACGCGTGAAAAAGAAAGTTTTCTCGGCACTTCTGCCTCGGAATTGGCTCACTTTGATGGATCTCAATGTCTGTGAGTGGGCAGAGCACACACCTCGTTGCTGAGTGGGTGTCCCCCGGGCTTATGTTTGGACAGGCAAGCAGGTGGGGAGTCAGTTTCGGTCCATTTGGGTTTTTGTTTTAGTGTGTTTGGGAAAGTCTTGTGGCCCCTCCACCCGTATCATTTACATTTCAATTAATTTATATTTAAATTTTCCCTCTTTTTGTTTATTTGCAGCCAAATGCGCCAAGGGCTGTGAGCATGGACACTGCGAGAAACCCAATCAATGCGTGTAAGTATTTTATTCGGTCGTATTTATTTAATTGGGCCATTGTGACATGCGTGGATCCGTATCATATTAGAAAATGGTTAATCTGAATACATCAACTAAAGTTAAATATAAGAAAATAGCTTAGAGGCTTAAATATGTTTTATATAAAGAGGTTCAATGCCTTTGGCTAATTAAGACAGCAACTAACGGGTACTTGGGTGCTTTGCCTTCAATTTAAATGATGATTCTTGTCCTCTTTTCGTACTTTGCACGTTTTATTTATTTGAGTTTGTTGTTTGCTTTTTTCACGCTTGTTGCTCTGTGCTTTTGCTTTTGCCCCACCAAGAAAAACGAGAAGAAAAACAGCAAACGACTACGATCATGATGGGGCACACCTTTTCAATGTAATGCTGAATGTTTGACTGCTACCGTGAGCTTTGCAAAAGGGCAGAAAACACTTTGCTGCTCTTTTATTTGTTTGTATTTTTCCCCTTGGATTGAATGCAAGTTGCCTTCGTTCGGCGACCGCAGAAATTCTTTCGGTTCGGCGCGATGTCATTTGATTTGTCCCGGGTTTTGCATTACAATTTTGAGGCGAAGTAAAAGCCAGGCGGCCAAATTGAATTACAAGTAGCGAAGTTTTCCCACATTTTTTGCCCATGAAGGTGTAAGCCAACACTTTTGACGACGCTCGCAAATATTTTGAGATATTTTCAGCATACAATTTCAACAAAGTAGCTAGCAGCTGCACCGAGAACAACGTGTCGCATGGTTTATTGTTTTTTTTTTACATAACTTGTACTAGCAAAAATCGAATTTAAAATTTGTTTAATGAATTAAAGCTAAATATATTAAGAAAAGGAGATAATGTTGCCAGTGTTGCCACAGCAGCGACCTCCGAAATTGATTTTCAAACGCCACGAGCAGAGGATGTTGCTCATTATTTATGCATTACGTTGGCCAATAAACCTCTCTCACTGCTAGGCGGAAATCAAACATTTTGTGGTCCGCCGATAATTGTGCCAAATAAAAAAGAGCACCGAAATCAACACATCATTGCGGAGTTGGAGTGGAGCGAGGCGAAGTAAGGCAAAGTGATTCGTACTGTTTTGTGAATCGAATTGTTAGCTGGAAACCGCAGAGACGCCCGGGTATGCGTGCCACTTAGCCAAGATGTTTGATTGTGGGAATATTTTAATAATTCTAAGCGCATACACCACACCAAATACACAGTACACAAGCACTAGCGCAAGCACATGTTTGTAAAGCAAGTTGGCAACGCGACGGCTGCTTTTTGACATTTCTTTGTGTACACACTGGCTGACGCATATCAATTACTACTTGTCTGAGCGACTGTCTGTCTGTCTGTCTTTGTGTTTGTCGCTTGCCTCCCTACTCCAAGTCAACAGGTTACCTGTCTTACTTTGAATTATTAACTATTGAAATTTTTGTGGGTGAAGGCTTTTTTGCATTACAGTTGGCCACTTGCATCTGGCCACTATACCTGCATGATCAAGCATGTGCGTGCATGCGTGCGTTGTGTTGCAGAGGATGTAACTCTTTTATTTTTGCTTTATTTCTTCATTGGTTTGAAATCAATTTATGATCGTGAGAAATTAAACATATTCCGCCACTCCTCAGCGAGCTCCCCCTTATTTTGTACACTCTTTCCTTTTTCGAGTGTGCGGATATGACTTCTGGCAGAGACATTCGTTTTATTTCAATTGCGAACGAGACTTTTTCAAGATGACAAGCCATCTTCCTTTCCCTCTCTCTGTCTCTCTTTCTGCGTCTTTTTGCTCATTTCTTGTGCAACTTCTTCTTTTCGTTAACTGCAATCAAGCGTGGCATGCAAACAAGTGTACATATGTACGTATGTATGTCGGGGGAGGGAGTGGGACGTAGAGATGCGTGGAACAGGTGATGGAAGACAAGCCTTCTGTCCTGCTCTCGCCCATTCCGAAGTCAAAAGTAAACCAGCGCTCGCGGCGCTTCAATAAACAGACTCAAAGAGGTTTAAGTGTATCTGTAGATTTCTTTTTAACCCTTTGAATGGCAAGAAAGACAGAGGAAGGAAGAGATCAGTATCTACACAGTAAGAAATATCAGCAAAGGAATTACATTTAATTCAATTATAATTGGTTTATACAAACTTTTCTGTTATTTATTTCACCCACACAACAACGGTCACACTAACCAGCATTTTCTTTTTCTTTTCTTCACATTTACAGTTGCCAACTGGGTTGGAAGGGAGCGCTGTGCAACGAGTGCGTACTGGAACCTAACTGCATCCACGGCACCTGCAACAAGCCTTGGACCTGCATCTGCAACGAGGGCTGGGGTGGCTTGTACTGCAACCAGGATCTGAACTACTGCACCAACCACCGTCCCTGCAAGAACGGCGGCACCTGCTTCAACACAGGCGAGGGACTGTACACCTGCAAGTGCGCACCCGGATTCAGTGGCGACGATTGCGAGACTGAGATTTACTCCTGCGACGCCGATGTGAATCCCTGCCAGAATGGCGGAACCTGCGTGGATGAGCCGCCTTCGAAGACGGGCTACAAGTGCCACTGCCCCAGTGGCTGGAGCGGAAAGATGTGCGAGGAGAAAGTGCTCACCTGCTCCGATAAGCCCTGCCACCAGGGTACCTGTCGCAACGTCCGCCCGGGATTGGGGGGCAAGGGTCAGGGTTACCAGTGCGAGTGTCCCATCGGCTACAGCGGACCCACCTGCGAGCTCCAGCTAGACAACTGCAGCCCGAACCCGTGCCTGAATGGTGGAAGCTGTCAGCCCAATGGCAAGTGCATATGTCCAGCAGGCTTCACCGGATTCAAGTGTGAGACAAACATAGATGACTGTCTGGGTCACCAGTGCGAAAATGGCGCCACCTGCATCGACATGGTGAATCAATATCGCTGCCAATGCGTTGCCGGCTTCCATGGCTCTCACTGCAGCAGCAAGGTGGACTTGTGCCTCATCAGACCGTGTGCCAATGGAGGAACCTGCACGAATCTGAACAACGATTACCAGTGCACCTGCCGAGCGGGCTTCACCGGAAAGGATTGCTCCGTGGACATCGACGAGTGCGGCAGTGGACCCTGCCACAATGGCGGTACCTGCATGAACCGGGTGAACTCCTTTGAGTGTGTCTGCGCCAATGGCTTCCGGGGCAATCAGTGTGATGAGGAATCGTATGACTCGGTTACCTTCGATGCCCACCAGTATGGAGCCACCACCCAGGCGAGAGCCGATGGCTTGACCAACGCCCAGGTGGTTCTGATTGCCGTGTTCTCCGTGGCCATGCCACTGGTGGCGGTCATCGCCGCCTGTGTGGTCTTCTGCATGAAGCGGAAGCGAAAGCGCGCTCAGGAAAAGGACGATGCGGAGGCCAGGAAGCAGAACGAGCAGAACGCGGTGGCCACACTGCACCACAATGGTAGTGCTGTGGGCGTGGCCTTGGCTTCGGCGTCGTTGGGCGGCAAAACCGGCAGCAGCAGCGGGCTGACCTTCGATGGCGGTAACCCGAACATAATCAAGAACACCTGGGACAAGTCGGTCAACAACATCTGTGCGTCGGCGGCAGCGGCTGCGGCGGCGGCGGCAGCAGCAGACGAGTGCCTAATGTATGGCGGATACGTGGCCTCGGCGGCGGACAACAACAATGCCAACTCGGACTTTTGTGTGGCCCCCCTGCAAAGGGCCAAGTCGCAGAAGCAGCTCAACACGGATCCCACGCTCATGCATCGCAGCTCACCCGCCGGCAGCTCCGTAAAGGGAGCACCGGGCGCGGCGGAGGGCAAACGGATCTCGGTCCTCGGCGAGGGCTCCTACTGCAGCCAGCGCTGGCCTTCGCTGGCGGCGGCTGGTGTGGCGGGGGCCTGCTCCTCCCAGCTGATGGCTGCCGCCTCGGCGGCGGGAAGTGGGGCGGGGACAGCGCAACAGCAGAGATCCGTGGTCTGCGGCACTCCGCACATGTAACTCCGAGAATGCGGAGGTCCGCGAGGAGCTTACAGCACACACACAAAGAAAAGACTGGGTTGGGTTCGAAATATAGGAGAGAGACGCCAAAATGTTGTTGATTGAAGCAGTTTAGTCGTCACGAAAATAGAAACTCTGTAACAGGCATAACTCGCAAGCTCCCTCAAGTCCCTTAAAAGTAATTAGCATGACTGTTGCCCCGCTGTTTCGGTCACTCGAAGATTATGGCTTTCCATATTGGTAAAGATTTTATTCAGATTGCAATGCGAAACAACAACAAATTTTACAAATACATCTTTTTTTTACAAAACAAGCCCCACAAAATTGCATCGAAATAGCCAGCGGACACAGTTGTTGCGCCCCCGGAAAATGTTGCCCCTCTTAAATTCCTTGAAAATCACTTGACCAATTGCTAGCTAAAATTTAGACCAAGACCTAGAACCACTGGACGACAGAGTCGAAAAGCCGACTCTGCACACGTTTTGACGTTTTGCATGTTACTGAAAAATCTGCTTCAATTAATCTATTTTTCACTTAGTTCGGTAGAAATTGTAAATATGAATGGTAGCCTACGCGTAAATGTAAACTAATGCTAAAACGATTGAAAAGAAACCAACCTCCTCAATGACGCCGCCCCAGGACGGAGCTGTCTTTCTATGCAAGGCAGCCGGCCGTACCGGGCGATTTGTATATAGTACTCATAGGCCACATCGATATACGAAATGGATAAGACAAAAGATGAAGACACGAAAAAACCTAAAAACTACATAAATTGACACTATCTCGACTATTTAGTTTCTAACTATGTATATGTAAATGTAGTGAACGGAGGGAAAACTAAACTTAACTGGACTCTAGCTTAGTGTTAATTTAAAGACCCCAAACAAACAAACAAACAAACATGCGAAGACAAGCAAAACATTTAGTGATTCTATTTTAAGTACTTATAATTTACCCTATCAACCAATAATTTTGTATTTTTTTATTTCGATTTTTAATCTTTTTGTTTTAATTTTTTTTTTAATTTTGTCCATTTACAACCCATATATTTTTTGGGCATCTCTACCGGCGCAAAAGAAGTCTATAATATTTGTAGTTGGCGTCTAACTGCACGCGAAATGTATTGAATTTATAAATTTTAAGAAGAAAAGTAAAAATTTATCACGAAAACTAGATAACTGAATTGGAACACAGGACAAGGCAAAATTTAAAACAATAAATTAATGAAAAATATACAACACAATATATGCAACCACACACAGAACTAAACTGAAAATTCGTGTTTTCTGAAAGTCTTCAAATAGTCTTATTATTAATATTATGTTTTTTATAAAAGGCAAATAAAAAAGGTTTATACAATTTAATTTTGATCTCAAAACCGAAGACAACAACCAGACAATGTGCAGCACGAAAAACGCAAATCCCGTTTGCGAAATTCCAAAACGTCAAAATTAAATCAACAAAACTACAGTGTTTAATTGCAAATGGTTCCTCGTTAGTGTAAAGAAATGAAAACTAGTTGTAAAAGTGCTAAAAACAAACTGTGCAGCAACTTATCTGATAAATCTTACACAGTATATACATACAAATATTTTTATACGTTTGCTACCCCGCAGCTCTCCTCTCATCCAGTTTTGTACATAAAGTTCTTCGATCCCCCACACGGGAGACACACAAACACACATATATTTTTTATAAACATTTACTTTTTAAATAGTCGTTTTTAGTAATTTATATTTTTATTGAAAATTGAAGCCTAAAAAACTCGAAAAAAAAACAAAGTAGAGGAACACTTGAGAAAAAAATTGTAAAAAGTTGATAAGACCATAAAAAACACACAAATATTTATACCAGAAGAAAATGAAAACCCATAAAAATAGTAGTTACTTGCATACAATTGTAATTTAGTGTTGTACTTACGACTTAGCCTAAACAATTTTATGAAATTTTTTAGTAATTAAAAAAATGAATTAAAAAAACAAACCAAACAAAAAGCAACAAAAAAACGAACAAACAAAAAATGCAAACAACAAAAATATGAAAAAAAAATAAAAAAAATTTATGGATGAATTATAATTGCAAACGTTTTATTATTTAACAAGGGGTGGATGTGGGCTTAAAAAGCAAATAAATATTGCTGATTGAAATCGAATTTTCTCTGTTTTGGAATGGAAAATAAATTTTAAAGTGCTAAAAACCAAGTGCCAAGCCGCAGGTCGTGGAAAATGATCACATATGTACATATGTATCTTTATGGCTGTCTCACAAGAAATTATAATTAGGCGAAAGGTAAGGATAACTAACAAGTTGGTGTTGCACTTGTCTCCCCTATTCCTATTTTGTTTATTGTTTACTTGAACCGAGTTCATGTTAAAAGTGCATTTGTTTCAGCAGGGAAATAATTTGACTTGCTTTGTGCACCACTGGTTATGAAGTCAATTTTAATAAGGATCCAATAAAAAGTTTAATTTCTTATAAAACAAAAAAATACCTTGCATAAAGTGCCATACACTAACAGGTTGGCTGATAAGTCCCCGGTCTAACAAAGAAAAACACATTTTTTTGTCAAAATTCGTTATTATTATTTAACATAGTTCCCTTCAAGAGCGATACAACGATTATAAAGACCTTCCAATTTTTTGATACCATTTTGGTAGTACTCCTTCGGTTTTGCCTCAAAATAGGCCTCAGTTTCGGCGATCACCTCTTCATTGCAGCCAAATTTTTTCCCTGCGAGCATCCTTTTGAGGTCTGAGAACAAGAAAAAGTCGCTGGGGGCCAGATCTGGAGAATACGGTGGGTGTGGAAGCAATTCGAAGCCCAATTCATGAATTTTTGCCATCGTTCTCAATGACTTGTGGCACGGTTGTTTTTGGTCAAATGTGAGCTCGCGCGGCACTCATTTTGCACAGAGCTTCCGCATATCCAAATGTTGATGAATGATATGACCAACACGTTCCTTTGATACTTTAAGGCCTATGCTATCTCGATCAACTTTATTTTACGGTCATTCAAAATCATTTTGTGGATTTTTTTGATGTTTTCGACGGTAACCACCTCTTTCGGGCGTCCACTGCGTTCACCGTCCTCCGTGCTCATTTCACCACGATTGAATTTTGCATACCAATCAATTATTGTTGATTTCCCTACGGCAGACTCCGGAAACTTATTATCAAGCCAAGTTTTCGCTTCCACTGTATTTTTTCCCTTCAGAAAACAGTATTTTATCAAAACACGAAATTCCTTTTTTTCAAATTTTTTCACAATAACAAAAGTTGCTTCACAAAAGACGCTCTATCTCACAAACTAATTGACTGACAGACGTCAAATTTTGAGACGAATCATTTAAAGGTTAGTACTATATAAAAATAATATGCATTCAATACTAGCGACGTCATCTATGTGTCAGACCGGGGACTTATCAGCCAACCTGTTATGCGGCTTCTTCTAAAAATGCAAAGAAATCACAACTCTGTAGATTGGCGAAGAGAGCTAGAGAACATTAACAATAAATTCTCGCATGCCATTGTGAAATTCTCACAATAATCATAAATAATAGTTTATTTCTACTTTTTAAACGTCCGAGAGGCCGCGAGGCTGCTAATGAAGTTGCCTGCCCGCCGACTGCGTATCTGTCTGATTTACTAACTGAGCGGTGGTACTAAAGGAGAAATAAGCGACGAGACGGGGTCCAGTTCGAGATTCTGCCGTAGATGCTGCCTAATTAAGCGGACATGCACTGTAAAAAATGGGGAATTAAGAAGGAAAATTAAAATTTACAAAACACAAAACTGAGCATTGTGCTCCAATTTATTGTCAAGACCAACCCGCTGGCGAGAGCTCTGCCAGCTGCGAGAGGAAGACGACGACTTAGGAGAGTCATCATACGGGAGCTGCCCACCCGGCGAATAACCTAGTTAAATATTTTTTTGAATTGTTTCCTCTGCTACATATTATTGGACCAATGATTTAATAGTAGATATTAAGCTTAATGCAGCAAAGCTTTTAAAACCAATAAATATTATGCGAAAAAAAAAAAAAAAAAAAAAAAAAATTGTCAAGAATCTAAAGCTCCATTACAAAGAATTCTTTTCAACCTAAAATTATTTTTCTTTTGGGCATTAGAGGTCGTTTTTTTCTGATGAGTGTAAACTTTGCATTGCAAACTGGCGAGTCATTAAGCCAGCGGGCAGCGTGGCAAGGTGCGCGCTGCACTGGGAGATGGCCGGCATATCGCTTACCTTGCCCAGCTATTGCGGCGAAGATGCATCGGAGGCTCTCAAGGGTTAAACCATTAAAATGCACTAAGACAATATTTTGTTAGGTCGTCGTCGCACACACTCGAGCCCCAAACAGACCATCATCAATGATCGTCGTCCACTCAGTGTCTGTTTATCGTTGGTTGGTTTACTCTAGATTTTGTCATTTCATCTTGGCCCGTGTGGAGATGAGATGGCCCCGAGTGGGGATCTCCACTCTGCTCCTCATCTCCCTATTTTTTTTTTTGGCACCTAATTGTGTTTACGTTCGCCCCTTGCTCCACACCAAATTAACCCATTGAGAACGCATTTCAATTATGTTTGGATAAACACACAGGCGAAGGGAACGACGTTCGTTGACAGTAATATTGCCCCAAGAAGTCTGTCAGAGGAAAAATATAAAAGACCAAGATATAATGTCCCGGACCAGACCCATTCCACATTAATGCCTTTGTCTGAGCGCGTTGGAAATGGTTTGGCAGAATTCTCATAGCACAACAGAAGAAGAAAAAAAAAAAAACAAAATCAACAACAATTCAACGTTCTTGTTCTCATTTTTGTTGCCTTGTCTCCGTCTCTGTCACTCAGGTTTGAAAATGTTGTTTTTTATGCTTTTTGGTTATGTATTTTTGTCTGTTTTTGTGTTGTTGTTTCTTGAATCCATCGTGCATTCATTGTTTTCCTCTAATCGCAAAAAAGATCTCGCTTTTCATCTCTTCTCGTGACGCTGCGTTGTTGATCTTGAAAATCTGTATCTCGGCAGTAAAAAATAGAAGCCGAGACATCACAAGTCTCCGATCGGTTTCGAGTTCAAAATAGTAAGCCAAGTCTGTAGTGTGTTTACATATCGATAGTAATTACCAATAACCTAGTAGATAAAAACATTCGTTTATGATATTAAAAACGATAGTTTTGCGGGTTTCAAGCGGATTTCAGATTTAGGCTTATTAACGATAATAAAGTTAATCACCTGTCATGGGTTTTGTGGAAGAATATGCTATAATTTTCGGAATCCGAATAAGATTTCGATTGCGGACCTTTTACGACTTCATTATCGGGTATAATCCTGAGAATTTGCGATACTCGTCGCTATTCGTCCGTTTGCGCGTCCGTTTTTGAGCATTTAGCGAAACTAATCCGGATAGAGAGATTCTTTGTTCGTATTTAATATATTTAGCGGATATTTTTCGGATCCATCCGCAAAAAGTCCGTTCTTTGTCAGGTGGGAAAAGGTAATAGTATGTTATTATTAGTTTTGTTTGTTTAAAATAAATATAATTAAGAATCTAAATAATAAAAGCAGCTTATGTTTTAAAATTTCATTTTAAAGACCACAAGCTAATAATAATATAACATAAAAGGTAATATAGATCTCACTCTTAAGAATACTGCTTATTTATTTATTTTTTTACTGGTCAAAATGGGTTTACATACATAAAATAGTACTTAATCTAACAATTTGTATTCTTATTATCAAAATATATTATCTATATATTTTATATTTCATTTTATTCATAATCCTTTAATAACATACTTTAATTTCGTCTTAAAAACATCCAGGGCATCCTACTCATATTTCAATATCATCTGCAGGCAGATTCCCACATACCCTCGCCTAAGGGATCCATAATTAAATGAGCTTCATTCATACATTCATTCATGCAGCGAGACTGAGTGAGAACTAGAGAACCTGAACTCCTTTTTCGAGACAGCCAAAAAAAAAAACAAAAAAAAAACTAACTTTGGGAACCCGAAGTTTGTATACCCTGTAAAGTAAAGTATTATTTTTAATTCGGAAAGTTTATCTGTGTTGATTTTAATTATGCATTAAAAAAACGAAGTTTTTATTTTCTAATAAAATTAACAATTTCTTTAAACTTTGAAAATAATGTGTATTTTTTCTAGCTACCATGGCTAGATTGACTCGGCTGTTGATGCTAATCAAGAATATATAAGATTTGTACGGGCTGACTCCTTCATCGCATTGCAAACTTCAGACTAAAATTATATTACCCTGAAAGGGTATAAAAATATAAAAAATAAATGGATGGGAAAGACGAAGCAAGCGGATAAAAAGGAAAAAAAGGTCATCTTATCATAAATAAACTGACATAAAATCAAGAATCAAATTCAAAAGCGAAGACAAGAAATCCGTGGCAACCAAAAGTACATTGTAGGGAATTACACAATAAATGAAATGCAGGCCCCGAGATCAGAGCTCCGAGTCTGAGACTGGGAGGCTGTCTTCGCCGTCGAAAACCGAGGGAGGGAGAGGGAGCAGATGGGGTAACCAAGGGACGGCACCATGATTCACCATTGGAGTTTTATGAGCTAAAGAACACATCGAGTTACCGCAGCAGAGTGGGGCTTAGCAACTTAAGTAGCCGAGTGTATAAGCAGGCTATATCTATTTGGTCGGATATGTAAATGGAATAGATAAAATGTTTCCGTAAACGCTTTCAGATCCAACCGGTAGATAGGAGCTCAGCTGCAGCTAATAGAGTGTGAAGATGACCAGCGGGAATCAGTGCAGCCAGCAACCGTTTTCAAGATCTCGATGATGAAAAATGGGAATTATAATATTTGAATATGTTGATAGGGAATTATCAATGATATTATATCCTTCTGAAAGTTTTAAAACCCTGGTTTGGTCCCTGCAAGAAGCTATCAGTGTCAGGGGTTGATCCTGTGGCTCCTTACTCAAGCGCGTATTTATACATAGTTTATTTTGCTATCATATGCAGAGGACACTTATGTCCAGTAAGAGGATAAATTGTCAGTTCTGGCGGCAATAGAGAAGCTTAATCTGGTCATAGATCAACGTCTACGTTCAGGTAGCCGTCGAAGATTCCCGGCCAATAAATTTCCACTAAACGGACAGCGGACAAAACGTTCGGCTTAATTTCCAACTGTTTATAATTTATTTTTACAAAAGCAAGAAAAAAAAAAAAAACAACAAAAAACCGAGGCAATCCGAATATAAAAAGTCCGATAAGGAGGAATCTCCGGCCGCTGCGCTTGCTTGTCGCTGCATAATTTGTCGTCATGTAGATACATTTGTATCTGTTATTTTGTATCTGTATCTGCTGCTCGTGGTTCGTTTGAATTTCAGCTCCGTAGCGCCTGGTCGTCGTGTGTGTCTCCGCTGCCTTTTCAGCTTTATTTCTTATTAATGATGTGGGAACTTCTGTGCGGCGCTGAGAGCTTAACGTTGATTTTTTGGGGTCTGCATTAAATTTCATTTCATTTCATTAATATCGGTTTCGTTGTTTTTCCTGTGGCTCGCATTAATTGCCCTTTTGTCGGTAATTATCATCTCATTGAAATCAATTAATGAGGAAATGTTAAAAAAGGAAACCTCACCAAGTCTATGGACATTAACAATTAGACTCAATGTCATAATTAACATATTTTTGAGATGATACTCCCGCTGATGATGATAAATAACCTGTGATTTGAGATACGAGACTCTCCGGGTGCAAATAATTGGGCATGGCTTAGATGGCTGCCTCGGCAGAGTTCTCACCATTTAATTAGTATGCGTTTTCATTATTTATCTGTCGGCTAAGACCTTCTTGGCTTGTTTGCTGCCTGCAGTTGGTTCTTTATTCCCCAACTCATTTGGTCTTTGTATTTTCTTTCTTTTTTTTGGGCGCGTTCCCAGCCATGTTTTTGTAGGTTTTACGAGCGCTTTTTACAGCCCCAAGAGTCGGCTCGAGACGAGCTGGGACTTCCACCAAACTATCGTAATACATCAATATGAATATGAGGCCTGCAGCCGGAGTCGTGTTGCCTTCACATCTTTTATACATTTGTGGCATGTGTTGATATATTTGAAGTTCGTTTCTGTTCTCCCTTTGCCTTTCTGTTTGTCAAAGGCAAATAAACCGAACCGAGAACCGTTCAGTTTGTGTGATCATCAGTGATCAGCTATCATTCTGGCTGCTTAATTCCAGAGTTCCTCCAAAGCGGTAAGTTACGGCTCGGCCTCTTCCCTTTAGCCCTAACTCATCAATATTTGATTTTTGTTGCCACCTTCTCCGAGAGTCTAACTAAGAGTTGACCAAGTACTTGACGTCGACATTGTGGGTCACATGTAGCATTCGATATTTTGATAATTGGCAAGACCAGCCAACCTTTGAAATTATAAAATATCAATAGAAAATACTTGTAGTAAAGATGCCAATGGTAATTAAGTATAAGAATAAACCTTTATAAATGCTATATTGATCCCACTTTTCGCTCACCAATATGGCACCAATCCAAAAACCAAGCCGATGAATTTAGCACAGGTAAGTGGATTTCTCCTGCTCGGTTCCCATTCGATTTAGAACCAGTCGGAGGCACTTTCCATCGCTCTAATTGCCTTTCCCACACCCATTTTCCATTTCCCATTACCAAGCCACCACCATGCCACATTTCCCAGTCACAAAGGAAGCCGAGCACAAAAAATTTGAGCTCCAATTGACAAAATCACGATTCATCGAACAACAATCGACCGACGACAACTTAACTTTACACACATTCGCAGCTTGTAGCCAAACCCTCCTTCTCCTGGAAGCCACCTAAGAAATCCGCAAAAAAAAACGAGGAAGGGGGAAAATGTTTGGCAATTGGAAGTTGGCGGCAACTTTTAGGCCTTTGGGGCGTCTGCGTTGGCTGATGGAAGGAAGCTGGTCTCTGGCTACCTACGAGTTGCATTGTCAGCAAAACGATCTGCAATAGGTCTACACTGAAAACTATTTAGCTTAGGAGTTGTTCCAAAGAACATTAAATGCGCATCTAATGTATCATTTTGTGGCTCAAAATACAAATTGTAATTTGTTTTCCGTTAGGTTACACTTACAGTATTCTAACTTGGCCGCATGATTTTTTTGAGTGCACTCATCCTGCACCATCCCCAACACAGGCTCCGACTCTCTCCTGCTCTTTCAGCATTTCTGCATTTATCTGACAACTTTGAATGCGGACAAAAGAACCCAAAAGAGCCACAATTACGGTACTTGGCGTCATTTGCAGTTTGCAGTTGTTGGCGTTCTGTTCTGTTGTGTTGCTGACTGGCTTTTTTCGGAAAAACTGTCCAAACATTGTCGGAAATTTGTTAACTTTAATTCCTATTGCCAGTCGGACAGCCAGCCGAATTGGCCAGGTTACCCGTTACCGGCCTCTGAAGTTGCGGGTGTTGGCTTCCAGCTTCATTTTCCCATTGTGGGCCTGTCGAAATTATGACAATCCTCGCAATGGGTCCTAACGGTTCCCTTTCGGCCGTGGCCAATGTTGCCCTGCCAATTCTGGGATTGTTGTAAGTTTGTTACTCAATTTGCAGCAGGGTTGATTGCCAATAGGGGGGGATCACTGATCTTATTATTAAAGGAGCGGTTCTTCTTATCTTCTAGTGATTATAGGGTCGAAAGCTTGCTCTAATAATACTACACTTCTTAAATACATTTAAAAACTAAGTTGAAGTCTTTAAATTACAATTAAAATACAAACACACTCTAGAGGATTTGTTTATTGTTTTACAAAATTACAAAATGAACGAGTATCTAGACATCTTACCCAAATGTTCTCAGATCGTCATTTATTCCCAATTGCAGCTGGCCCGATTGCCATAAAGGCTGATTTATTCCCATCTCATTAACATTCACCGGATTCTTTACAACTCTCTTATGACAATGATAAGGCCAAGAACGCGCCTTAAACGGAAGTGGGCTCATGAAAAGAAGACTGTCGTTTAAGTGGCATTTTTGAAATGTTCAAACAAATATTGAAACAGAAACTATTTCGTTTTTCTCGCCGACACATCTCTGGCCTTTTTCTCAGGCATTGGAAACTAGTTGCGCTGCACCGATCGGCTCGGAGATCACACACAAATCAATTTAACGATGCAGTAGCCCAGTTCCAGATCGAGTCCGAGTCCGAGTTCGAGTTCGAGTTCTTCTCGATTGGGGTTTCATTCACTTGGGCTCGGATCGGTGGGGAAGCGACTCGCCGAGCGGAGTTGACGACTTGTCGTCGACATTGCAAGTTGGACTTCCTGTTGTCGCGTCATTATTGTCCATCATCATTTCCATTCGTAATGAGGCTAAGGCTACTAAAGCGAAGTTGATCTTTAGTTCATTTAGATGCCGCCGCGGCCTCAAAGCAAAAAAGTAATGGCAATGGCGGGGGCCGCACTACGACGACTCCCCTGATCAGCTGACTATGTATCCATCTGAGAACCCATTCGAGCCAGCTACTTAAAACCGGCCTTAATGTATGCGACCCTCAGGCCAGATCGGGCTCGGGATGCACTTCCAGCCGTGTGTACAACATCTACTATGTCCGCTGGCATTCTTCGCGTAATTCTTCAATTTCAATTGCATACTCCGCTAGTTCGGTCCGAGGCCTTGCCTTCGGCTTTAACTGGATGCTGCTGCTGACGGAACCGCTAAAAATAGCTGAAAAAGGTTAAAAATCAAGGCTTTAGGTTACATTCGATACTAAGTAAAGGCTATGCAATGGCATTCGTATTATATTATTTAAATTTTTGAAAGATTAAATTAGTTAAAGTCGTGACACGTTACAAATAACTAGTCTTTAAGCGACAAACTGCAGCCAGAAAAAAAGTTACTGATTAAGTTTCTTTAAAAACATATAAAGTTTAAATATTTGTACTTGGTTTTAGATATATATATTTTCTGTTACAGCTAAATTCGCATCTCTAAGTGGCCGCTTTAGTCGTTTGTCTTTTATTCGTTTAGTTTTCCTTTTTGCGTGCAGAATTGTCGCGACATTTTTCTAGGTAAACCTCACGATCAATTGGCGACACGCTTCTTCTTGGCAGCTTCGGCTAACCTGCTGCTGCATCTGAGATGTGGCAGTGGCTGCTGCGTGAGTTGTGGTCCGGACTGGGGACTGGTCTTGGCCTGGCTCTGGGCCAGGTTTGCTCGTCTTGGGCTCACATCACATCACAGCCGCAGAAGCAACAGCAGATAAAAGTGTTTATCATGTTTGCAATTATATGCTAAAATTGTAATTGCAAATGTTTGCCCAGGCCGTTGAGGGCTTTTCCATTTAGCGCAGATAGACTCAGACGTTCAGCATTCAGCAGCTTGGCTTTGGCTTTGAAGTGTCTCGTTGTTTAAATGGATTGCTTAAACGGTTCTGCCGAAGATATTCCATTCTATTCCCCCCTCTGAGAACCGGATGCGCGAGAGTAAGAGTTAGTTTTTCCTCTCCTTTTCCCCTCAGGTGCTACAAGGAAGTTGTGGAGACTCGCAAGTTGCAAGTCAGGTGGGAAATCGGTGGATAATTGATTAAGCATCTTTGCTCTGACACGGAATTAACTTTCCACTGATTACAGGGTAGAAGGAATTCGCCTGAAGCATACGTTATTTCGATTTAAATTAAATACACAAATTAAATTAGTAGATTCATATTATTTTTCTAATTATGTCGACATTAACACATATGTAAACTATAAGTTACTATCTTCTGCCTGTATCATATGTTTGCTTTTAGAAATAATTATTAAAAATATGTTTTCGTATGTGTAAATAGGGGTTATATCTTTTAGAAGGATTGTTCAATGACAAAAATATTAAAACAGTTTTCATAGAGACTTCTCAGCTCAAAAATCTATGTTCCCCGATCGATATATTTTGTTGCTTTCGCTTAGTAGAAAAACCTTTATTGAGCAGTAACTAAAACGACTTGACAACCTCTTTTCCAGCATTTTATTCTCTCGAGAAACTCCAAATTTATTCATGCCATAGAGTCCTCGTGTCAGAAAGCTGGTTATGCGACGGCGGCTGTAATTTCTCTTTTGTGGCGCTTTATGATCCAACTCAATTGCGCCCACCTGAATGCGAGTATCATGCATCATGCAAACATCGCTGGGCCATAAATTTCTTAGCCACTGACCTCGACCGTTGGCTTCAACACTCCATCAGAGCATCAGAGAGCCAGGCACTTAATGCCCACCCAAAAATGGCCATGATGATGGAGCCCGGGTCTGGGCCGGAGAAGACAACGACACCACATCAAGTGCCGGGGCAGGCGGCGTAATGGCGCATCCAAAGTGCAGCTAATTTAAGGAAACGTTCACTCAACGCGACACCGAAACGCATCCGCCGTTGATGCTGGGATGCCACCAGATGCACGGGAGATACATCCAGCTCCTCGGTCCCCAGTCCCCGTCCCGATCTCCCTCTCTCTCTGTCTTTCCTGGCCAAAAGCCTACACCAATATGGAGGCGTTCGCTGCACGGGCGCGTGACGTTCGGTGTCCACTTTTGGTTGTCAAGCAAATTACATATATGATTTTTATGTGACAAATGAGCTTAAGATGTTGTCGCTGAAGGGGCAGTTCGGTTCCAGTGTGACTTGGCTTGGTATGCCTGGCTTTGCGTGGCTTTTCCTAGCTTTTCTTTTAGCTTTTAGAGCTGATAGCGTGAGTACTAGAAAATTTAGCTTTAAAATTAAATGAAACTAATATCATATTGAATGTTTTCAGTACTTAAAGTGCACTTACTCAGAGATTTTAACCAAGTTCCCTTCGATCGCAGAGCTTTCGTAGTGCACCTGTCTCTGAAAAACATTTTCAGTTGTAACCTGACATTCCAGGTACATTTTCTGATAGGTTTTCCTAAAGCTTGCTTGCTTCTGCCATCTCTAAGCGGCTTCTTGCTTCCCGGAACTGACTTTTACCACTTTGTCTGTTAAGCCACTCACGCACAGCGACACAGTGACACATATCGAAGATGTTTTGTGTGTTTTCCAGTTTGTTTTATGATGGGTTTGGGTCCATCGATTTGCATATTAATGCTGGACATGTTTAGGAACGCCCGCGCTTCTTGTTTCTGCCTTTTTTGACAGTGGGTTCGACGGGATCCGATCCGCTGGGACGGAGAAAAGTGAGAGTAAAGGTCTTGGCCCGGGGTCATCAGCTGCAGTTTGATTTATGTCCCCACTGGTTTCTCAGCGGATTGTTTACGATGTGTTAACTTCGGGCCGAAAAGGTGTTTGGCCATTCGACTGGAAATTCCATCAAACGGTTTTCACTGCATTAAAATCGCTCGCCGGGCTGCGTGAGTGTATTTAAAGCATTCCGAAGACAAGACCAGACATTGTCATAAGACCCACAACGAAAACTGTTCGAAACTGTAACGAGTGAGCGCAAAAATGTTGATGCAATCGTTAAGTTTGGCAAATATGGTTAGACCTCTGATTTGCGGATTCTTGGTCCAAGTTGTGAGCTGGGTGCTATGCGATGTAGTTGTGTTTCCGAACAAGATATCCAATAGCTGAACTCCAGCTGAGAATGTTTCGGCTAGGAATGGTCAGAATTTTGTTGGCTTAATTAGAACACTGTTTTTGTTGGCCTCACTAAAACGGGGGTCATTTTGGATAGCTTTCTTCGTCTTGCTTTGAGTTCACATCATTTGCAGAAAAAATTGTTAAATTAAAAAATCCTGCAATAATGATTTCCCGAAAATTCCCTCACACTTTTGAGTAATTTACATTATACTCTACTTCTTAATAGAGTCGTTTAATTTAATGTATCATTCATTTGAATAATCTTTACAATTATAATACGTTTTTTTGGCCAGTGCAAGGACTTTTTTAATTTGGCGACTCACGCATTGTTGACCTCAGTGACTCGAGGCATAAATCTCAAGAGATATGGCTTATTTCTGAGCTGCCATCAAACGAAAAATTCTAACATGCCTAGCATGTTCAATGTCAGCTCATTACCCGTACCTGCACTTGTTAGCTGTTTGCTTATAGCCACCTTGGCTCTGGGCCTTCAGCTCTGAGCTCTCAGCTCTCGGCTTTGGGCCATAAAGGCGCGGTGACTATATCAAACGAGCTGGCAGTTATGCAGAAATTCCATAAGCGACATCACATTCTCTCATAACCCAGCATCCCCAGTGCTCGCTCCTCCAACGGAGGACCTCGGGCACCAACTCCAGATGGATCTCTTCTCCTTAGCGCCTATTAGCTTAGCCAATACTTCAAAGTGCAGACTGTGGCCGCTGCCTGCGCCTGCGCCTGCGCCTCTGCCCGGTTGGTTGGGCCAACTTGGCTGGACCATAAATCACTGGGACGACGATGCGACTAATTAAAAAATCGACACGCTTAACTGGCAAAAGACAAAATTAACATTTGCCCAGACAACGGGAGAGCTGAGCTGGGAACGCTGAGGAGGATCCGAG